TTCCATCCTCTGCAACTGAAATAAATTGTGGTACGCTCATCCAATCCAATGGACACTTTTAGTAATAGCAGCATTCGCTGACTCTACAGCACTTGACAATTCTGCCCACCACCACCTTGAAATTTGATCCCCATCCCTCACTCTCTCTGGCTGACTGGCCAGTATCCCAGTATCCCAACTTCTGCTTCAACTATCACTTACACACTGATGATTTCTGAATCTATAGCACCAGCTTAGCTCTTTCCCCTGAGCTTCAAACAGACCAGAATATTCATCTGTTCATTTTCTAGTTCCTCTACTTACGCACAGCTGAAACTGAACTAACCTCTTCCTTCCCAGCCACTCTCCTAGGCCACAAACTGGGAGATGATCTAGACTCCTTATGCCTCCTATCTCATCATTCACACCAAATCAGCCAGCAAGTCAATTCTATTTCCCTTATATCTTTCCAATTTGTATCCTCTTCTCCACCTCCACTACCTCTACCTTAGGTTCAGGCCCTCAACCTGACCCTCCCTACCTCCACTCTCTTGCCCAAAATCATCCATTTGCCAGTGACTCGTTCTAAGAAGAAATCTATGCCATCCATTTAGTGCAAATCAAGCCATGGCTCCTCGCTGCTTTCAGAATAAAGTCCAAACTCTTCAGTATGGCATACAAAAGTTTTTGATCTATCCCTTTCTACTTCATTAGCTTTACCTCCTACAACAGCCCAACTCCACATTACAAAAACCAGCATATTGAACTTCTTACACTTTCCAACAAGGCCTGATTCTCTCTTGCTGTGCCCTGTACAGCCCCTTCCACTCCTAGTCATGTTTCAAGACTTGACAGTCTCTCAGAAGTCTCCCTTGACTCCACCAGTCGGAATCAGAGCCATTTCACTCTGTGTCCCTTCCACACTGTATATATAACATTACCACGGTACTTACTACATGATAATTGCTGGTTTAATTGGTCTGTTCCGCCACTGGACTGTATCTTTTGTTTTGTATCCTCAACACCTAGCATAGTGCCTAGCACATAACACTAGACAAATGCTTACTAAATGGATGATTAAATTTAAGATAAAGAAGCTGGCTTACTGTCTTGCGTAATGGCTTGCTGCGAATGGCAAGACCATCCATGTAGTCCTCCAGTTTGAACTTGTAAGTAACCTGCAGCTTCTGAAGCAAACTATCAAAGAAGTCACTACCCTATAAAGACAAAAAATAAGAAACAGCTGAATCAGACTGTTCTGATCCAATCTACCCGCCAGAAACTGGGGCAAGTAACCTGTCCACAGTTCTGCTAATGTTTAGTCATCCTATGTAAAGAGAGGCATATACAGTATTTAGTGGTCACCAACTAAACACAAGACAAATTCATAGCATAAGCCCCTCCATGGTTTTAAAAATATGAACACACACACACCATACACACTTTCTCTCCCCACAGCACCCACCCCCAAACAAGACATTCAGAAAATTTTCAAGCTCAGAACTAACTCCAATTGCCAATAAGTTATGGTCCCAAGGAAGCAACAGGGTGGGTTAGGCCTAAACCCAAGAAAAGAGCATAAGGTTTTTAGTCAATGTTCTGCTATAAATCATCATATTTCAGGTGATAAAAACCCATCACAACTACAGAATGCTAAAGCCTTTATCCTGAGGACAAAAAGATGATGGTTTACCTCATCCAAGAGCTCCAAAAGTCTGTTCCGAATCTGTTCGGGGTTCTCAACATTTGGATCCTTGAGAAGCTGCCTGAACTTCTCAATCACCTGATAGAAAGCATTCTTCCACAGGATCTGATCCACATTCTGATTATCAGAGAACTCAATATCTAATAGGATACAGCGCTCATATAGCTGCAGCAGTTCAGCTCTGGAATAAAATACATGCAACTTCTAGCTCCAAATACACCACAAGAAAGGCTAGACCCAAGATCTGAGCTTCTTGCCAATTAAACACCTTCCTTGGCAGGAAATCCAAAATGCCACCAGGTATAGTACTCATTTGACTTTTTATTCTGCACAGCAGAATATCATTCTAAAGACAGTTATGTCTAGGAAAATGGTTTTTCCCCATATGCCTCCACCTAAATTTAACAGCTGAAATAAGATCTTCACCACAAGTTACATGTTGTTCACTTCTTGGCATTCTGGAAAGTCTTTCCTTTTCCATTTCCAGATTCCATGTTCTCTTAAAGATTTTTTTTCTTAAAGAAAAAGTGGGAAGCATAATCATTTCTAAGACTAGAAACCAAATTTTCTGTTCTTTTTTCCAACTACTCCTTCCTTACAAAAATCAATGTGAAAGGGATTTAATGCCCAGTGCCTTGCCAAAACAGTTTCTACGCTCCTCCACCACAGGAGCCTACCCACCTCCAGCTTACCCCCACGTCCCTCTAGGATGGAACACAGCACACCTGAGCTGGGTCATCTTCTCCAGACCCTCAGGGCTGATGCGGTCCCTGGAGAGCAGGTTGCTGAGCTGCAGTTCCTGGTTGTCAGCCACCCGGAGAAGCCTATGTAGCTCCTGCTGCTGCATGTTCCTCATGTGCTGTTCCATCTCCTCAGGACTCATGGTGCTGGCAGGGAGGGGGCCACAGACATACTGTCCTGATGCAGTTGGGTAGCCTGGGTAGTAAGGCCCGGGGTACACACCATTTGTAGGGCCCACGGGGTACTGCAGAGGGCTATAGCCCGTATAAGGATACTGAGAGGCAGGGCCTGGTGTCCGGGGGTAATAATAGGGGTTGTCAGAGTTTTGAAACTTATAGTAAGACGCTTGGGCTTGGCGGGAGTCACCCCAAGAGGTAGGGCTGACTTCATCATCAGTGTCTAAGAAATGTAGCTGGGGCGTCTGGCTCTTTAGAGCAGGTTTCTGATCAGGATTGTTTGGGTCCCATAATCGTCGAGTGGTGCCTCCTCGGCCCCAACTCCGAGATCCCTTACTACCAGATCCAAATAAAAGCCGAGGTCCCAAAGGTGCAGATTCTGGAGAACCGGCTGAACTGACAGATAGGGTGGTATGGGCAGGCAGAATCAGAATGCCACGTCCACGGCCTCGAAGTTCTTGTTTCAGGTTTTTGGACTCCTGCTTCTCAGGGCCTTTGCCCCCACTGCTCAGGCCTTTGTCAAGCTTTATCCTATCCACATCCTCCCTGGCTGATTTCACAAGGGGGGAGTCTTTGTTCATGGTTTCTGCATCAAAAGTGACACGAAGAGTGCCTCGATTTTCTTTCCCATTGCTTTTCTGCTCTCCCTCCCCACGGCCAGACCAGCTTCTTTCTAAATGTTTCTTCCTTTCCGAGCTCCTCCTGGGCCCATCAGGCTCATCAATTCTGTCCTCATCTAAAGAGTCAGTTGAGGACATAGATACTTGCTTCTTCAGTCGTGGCCTCTCCTTGGTCCGATCCTGTCGGCGGCGGCGACAACCACTATCGGTCAGGCCAGCCCCCTCAGCACTGTTGTTGCTGCCAGCCGAGCTGGTACTACAAGTGCGGTAGCGGTTCCTTCGTTTGTCTGAGCGGGAGTAGCGCTTTGCTGAACCCGGCTTCCCCTGTGCCAGGTCATCGGTCACTTTCTTTATCCCCTCCCCCTTCTCAATCCTCTTTCCTTTTTCTCCCTTTGCAGGCCTTACTCTGTCACCATTTGGGCTTTTTTCTGCCTCATCTTTGTCTGGTTTATTCACGACCTCCTCTTTCACATTTCCCCTACACTCATCTTCTTCTACTCTCAATTGCTCCACCTGGTTGAGGATTTCTTCCTCACCCACCCTGCTAGTTGATTCTTTGATAAGAGTCTGCAAACGCCTTCCAGGCTGGTAGATCTGCATGTCAGGTTTCTTTGTTCTCTTGATAATTCTTAGACTTCGATCCTCTTGTCCAGAAGTCCTAGGAAAGGACTCCTGTGCCCCAATATTTTCTGGGTCTACAGGACCATTTTGATGTTGGTTATCCAGTTCCTTGCAGACATCCTTAATGAGCTGTGTACCATTTCCAACAGCAGAGGAATCTCTGTCGTTAATAATTTCATCCTTAAATTCGTCACTCCCAGAAGGTTCCTTGATTTTAGGTTTGTTCCTCAATCGGGAAAGACCAGGCTTATAGATTTCCAGATCTGGGCGCCGGTTATCTCTGCGCTGCCTGGGCTCCTTCATGTTTTCTATGATGTTGGAGAGAGTGTTGGGGAGGAACAAGTAGAAGAAAAGAATAAAAGGGGAGGGAAGGAAAAAAAACGTCACTCTGGTTAAATAACAGAGAAGCCAAGCACGAACAACACATCGAAATGCCAATACTGGCGAACATGGAAGAAAATTTCTGAAGCGGCAGAAATTCTACTAGGTTTACAGTTATTTGTTTAGCAATTGTCAAGGCTAAGAACTTCATTATGTCAGAGCTATCTACACTTGAATTAGGGAAATAGGAAAAACAGTAACAACAACAACATACCCTCTTGTGTTACCCAAGTCATATCCAGATGTCCAAGACCCCAAACTACTTTATCATTGCCAGAATAAAAGATGTTTAACTATTTGAGCTTCAGACTGTTCTCTGCTATGGAGCCCTTGGATCCATTTTAGTCTTTTCTTCTAGTGCTTCTAACATTTTTCCAGGGTGGCTAAGCCCTTTTTAACATAGTAGTAGTAGGGAATAAAGGAGAAAAAGAGGGGTATACACAACAATCCACAGTTCTGGACATCTCTGGGGCGGGGGGGGGGGGAATGTGCAACTCCAGTCTCTGAACTTGACCAGGACAATCCTCTTCTTTTAGGATACCAACTGCCCAAACACATACCTCTTATTGAAGCAAACAGGAAACAGTTCCTTTCACATTCTTCAACTCCACTCATGCTCACCAACTCTCTAACAGCAGCCAGCAGTCATTCCAAGGAAATACTGCTCAGACTATCATCATTAGAATACTGCGACTAACTGCTACTATGATGTGGAATATGAGAAGGAAAAAGTTCCATAAAGGAGCTTTCTCTGGAGGATGATGGAAGTATTGTAACATGCTCTCAAAATACCAAGGACTGCAGTACTTAAAAATAAGGGTACAGGACTTTCGAAACTCCTCTCCAGGCTCCCTAAACCTACTGAATCACAGATAAGCAAGTACCTATTTTTTGTATCTGTTACCTTTACCTATTAAGGGGCGAGACTACTACAAATAGCCACTAAACTTGTCAATGGGAAACTGACCGCAATTAGTGAGATTATAGAGTACTCAAAACAGAATGCTTTATAAACTCCTAGTATTGTTCTATAAACACCAATACAAACAAGCCCATAACAGGAATAAATAATAACCTCCAGCATTTAACCCATCGGTGTAACAAAACAGAAAGAAGCAAAAACACAAAACCCCTGCTTCAGTATTTTCAAAAGCTTAAAAAACCATTTCTTCAAGTGCAAATAAAGGTAAAGCAGCTTACCTCCAGAATAACTCACCCTCAGGAGCCTTTTACTTAGGTTAGAGGTGGGGAGGAGGAATGAGAAAAGCTACTACTACTCAGAGCAGAGGGAGAAAACACCCTGAATAATCAATCCCATTCAAATGACCAACGAAAACCAATTTCACAGACTTTGGCAAGAAGCCTGCAGAAGCACAACTACCATTCTACACAACTCCACCACCTAACAAAGAAGAGATGAGATACTAGAATCTTCCTTGGAGCTTTCCTGGTGTGGATGGAGACTTTAATTTGCAAGATGAGCATTCTCTCTGATAAAAACTGCTCCCACATATGCCAAAGGCAAACCAGAGTGGAGTCAGCTCTCTACCGGAGGTCCTGGATCCCTCTGGTGGTGCAGCCTTCAGAACCCTGCCTTGGGGGAAAAAGTTCAGCAAGAAGTCCCAAGCTGTTCAATCTTTCTCCTCGATTTCCCCAGTTCCTTCTCTCCAACTCTAAAGAGATGACAGGGAAGGCATGCGGATGATTCCTCTGGGAACGATACATCCCGGGGCCTCCCCTAGACCCAAGCACCCGCTTCTCGCCGCGTCTCCTGACGACTGGGAATCCACAAACTGCTCTGAGAAGGCTGGAGCAATCGGGAACAGTCACCTTCGCGGTGAGAAAGGGGGCGGAGGCAGGAACTCGGGTCGGGCTCTCCCGGAGGGGGCCGGGGCTGGCCGAGCCCGATTCCACACTGGCCCTCGGGCTGGTGAGGCGGCCAGGGGACCGCCCTCGGCCCCCGCCCCCACTGCTGGGGGAAGGGGCGGGGGTTCAGAAGCGCCGCGGACTGAGCAGGGAGGAGGCAGAGGAGGAGAGGGAGGCGGGGCGGGCAGGCCCAGCCCAGGAGCTGGGCGGCGCGACTCACCTCTGCTCCCGGCCTGCGGAGCCAGAGCAGCCAGGATCCCTCGCAGCTCCGACGCTGAGATCCGGACACGCTCCAACCCCTCCGCCATCTTCGCGGCTGCTGCTACAGCTGCAGCCACTCCGCCACCGCCGCGCGCAGCCAGGAAACCACGACCGACGGGCGGCGCGCGCGCTTACCCACCTCCCACCCGTGTCCCCGCCCCCTCCCGCCTTCCTCCCCTAACGACGGTGGCCGCACTGGGAGGAAAATCTCTGAACGCAAATTCCGCGGCTCCAGAGAGCGGGGGAGGCGGGCACTGCGCGTGCGCAGAGGTGTGGTCGGGAAGGTGAGCTGAGGCTGGAGTTGGGAACGCGGCGCCTGTGAGGTGAGGAGAGGCCAGGCCAAGGCAGGCCAGGCGACGCGGGCGTTTGCCGCGGTGGCTGCTGTTGCTGCTGTGGTGGCCATCGAGGACACTGGTGCTGGTCTGGGGCTCGGGCTGACGGAGACACCGCACATTCCGGCCGTCTCCAGTCATCTTAGGCCAGGGTCTCCCACCACAGGCCCGGACTAGCGCCCCAGGCTTTTTACTTGAGGACCTTAAAGGTCTTGTAAGAGCAGTTATTATCCGTCTCCCCCCCCCCCGCCTTTTTTTTTAGATGAGGAAACTGAATCCTAGAGAAGCGTAGCAAATTGCCCAGGGTGACACAGTGCATAAGTATCAGAGTATCAGTCTTTTCCTTTGCGGCGGACTACATCCCCAAGACCCCTGACTTTCCCCACCCCCCGACTTTTCTTTTTTTAAAAAAAATACAGTAAAGTTGGCTCTTGCTGAGGGAACGTTGTGTGGAAGTAAATCAAGAGGTATTATAAGTCGGTTTGGGAAGTTCTGTATCATTGTGGATTCTTGAAAAAATTACTTGACTTCCTTGCATCTGTGGTGGTGGTTTTGTTTTTTACATCTTTAAAATGTAACTGGATCAGAAGACTGGTACTTCAACTTCTTGTTTCTGGGCCCCTGTTCAGAACTGTGAAACTCCCTCTCCCAAGGCTGCTTCCCTCCACCTGTTGCTCCTTACCAATCCCATACAGTCTATTGGACCTCTACATCATCAAAGAATAGTTACCAATAATTTTCCTTAGACTGGCTCTAAAAGATTTGAACAATCTCTGACAGAACTCGTTCAGTCCCTATTATGTGACACACATTTTGCCACCAGAAGGCTAAGCAGATGGATAAAGTCAAGAGATATGTGAAAAGATTCAGTGTTTCGAAAGAAGGAGATTAATTTGAATGTCAGAGCAAATGGCAATCTTTAAAACATACGAATGAAATAGGAAGAAATATTGAAAACTATAATTCTCTTTTTAAAATTTATTTGAAAGAGAGCAGGAGTGGGGGGAGGGGCAGAGGGAGATGCAGACTCCCCGCTGACCAGGGAGCTGGATGAGGGGCTGGATGCCAGGACCTTGGGATCATGACCTGAGCCAAAGGCAGATGCTCAACTGACTGAGCCACCCAGGCACCCCAAAACTAATATGTTTTAACTTTGAAGTTAGGACATTACATCAATTTTTTTTCAAAAGATAGAAAAATAATCTGAACAAAATTCTTAGAAAAACATGATTGCCAAATTAATGCAACAGTCTCTGTACTGCAGATGAGATATGTCAAAAGTTTAACCAGCTCAAGAGAATTTACCAGAACTCAGAGGTGAAAATATAATATAAAACTATGAGAGACAAGAAAAGAAGACATGGAGAATGGATCCAGAAAACTAATAATAAAATACAAGTTCCAGAAGGTGATAACAGAACTGACTGAGGAGAAGCAGGAATCAAAGAAATAATAAAAGAAAATTTACTAAGTTGATGGGAAAATTTAAATTTAAGACAAATTTAGCCCTCAGATTTAAAGGTTCATGAAATGACCAGGTAAAAATAAATGAACAGGGCGCCTGGGTGGCTCAGTTGGTTAAGTGACCGCCTTCGGCTCAGGTCATGATCCTGGAGTCCCCGGATCGAGTCCCACATCCGGCTCCCTGCTCAGCAGGGAGTCTGCTTCTCCCTCTGACCCTCTTTCCCTCTCGTGCTCTCTATCTCTCATTCTCTCTCTCAAATAAATGAATAAAATCTTTAAAAAAATAAATAAATAAATGAACAGACAATCCTATTTAGACCTGTATTACAATGAAAGCTTCTGAGTTTAAAGAATTAAAATGTGTTTGACATGAAACAGTCAAGATATATAATTTTAAAAAAATTTAAAGCCACTTGCAGAACAATATATACAGTATGGTACTATCTGAGTGCAGCAGAAAACCATTTATTGTTTATGTAAGTTTCTATATAAATACATCCAAAAAAGGTGTGCAAGAAAACATACTAAACTTTTTAAAGTGGTTATCTTTGTAGAAGAGAATAGATTTAAGGGTTAGAGAGTGGAAGGTCTTTATATTTCCATAATGGTTTAAATTCTTACAGTAGGAATTTGGTCACATATGGGTAATCCAAAAAATAACAAGTTTGTATAGTGGAGAAGGGAAGAATTCAAATTCTTTTTTTTTTTTTAAGATTTTATTTATTCATTTGAGAAAGAGTGATAGCACAAGCAGGGAGTGGCGGTGTGAGGAAAGGGAAAAGCAGACTCCCCACTGAGCAGGGAGCCTGATGCAGGGCTCGATCCCAGGATCCTGGGATCATGACCCAAGCTCAAGGCAGACACTCAACCTGTCTGAGCCACCCAGGTGCCCTGGAAAGAATTCATTTTCTAAAACCAAAAACTGTACAGGTCATGTTTGCTGAGCACAGAGTAGTAAAACTAGAAATGAATAATCAAAAATTAAGCAAAATCTAGCTACTTGGAAATTTTTTTAAACAAATTTTATTTTTTTTTAAAGATTTTATTTATTTGAGAGCACAAGAGGGGGGAGGATCAGAGGGAGAAGCAGACTTCCTGCTCAGTTGCTTAACCAACTGAGCCACCCAGATGCCCTAAACATAAATTTTAAATAACTCATAGGTCAAAAAGTAAACAAAGCTAAGATTGTGGATTTTTTAAAAATTAAAATTTGGGGGGCGCCTGGGTGGCTCAGTTGGTTGGGCGACTGCCTTAGGCTCGGGTCATGATCCTGGAGTCCCGGGACCGAGTCCCACATCGGGCTCCCTGCTCAGCGGGGAGTCTGCTTCTCCCTCTGATCCTCCCCCCCTCATGCTCTCTCTCTCTCTCATTCTCTCTTTCAAATAAATAAAATCTTTATAAAAAAAAAATTAAAATTTGGGGGGGGTTGCCTGGGTGGCTCAGTCATTGGGCGTCTGCCTTCAGCTTGGGTCTTGATCCCAGGATCCTGGGATCGAGCCCCATGTCCAGCTCCCTGCTCAGGGGGGAGCCTGCTTCTCCCTCTCCCACTCCCCCTGCTTGTGTTCCCTCTCTCGCCGTCTCTCTCTCTGTCAGATAAATAAAATCTTTAAAAAAAATTAAAATTGGGGCACCTGGGTGGCTAAGTCAGTTGGGCATCTGCCTTCGGCTCAGGTCATGATCCCAGGGTCCTGGGATCGGGCCCCACATCAGGCTCTCTGCTCAGTGGGGAGCCTGCTCTCCCTCTGACCCTCCCCCCTCTCGTGGTCTCTCAACTAAATTAAATTTTTTTAAAAAATTAAAATCAATGAAAATATTGCATAGCAAAACCTATGGTATGTCATTAAAGCAATACTCAGGAAAATTAATAGCCTGAGTGCTTATATTATTAATTTTAAAAGAAAGTGATCCAGTAATAGCACTTCTGGGTATTTACCCCCAAAATACCAAAACACT